TCATGGAAAGATATAGACGTGATATTTTCTAACACAAGATAGCCTTATGATGTAAGAACATTGCATTTTTGTTGATTTATTCTCATGCTGATTTGAGAAAATTTGTAAAATGTAATGGGAAAAATATTGATCCAGTATCTTATGCATATTACTATATTTGTCTAAAATAATACATACTGTCCGAAAAGATATCTGCTTTACATAATAGTGAAAGGTGTTTTCTAATATGTTTAAGAATTATGCTATGTTATTTCTAAATGACAAGAAAAATATTTCTGTTTGCTTATGAAATATACAGTCAATCCTTGTCTTTTCTCCATGCTTTTGTGTCACAGTTTAGCAGAGAATGGATTATTTACTATAAAATTATGTCCGTTTGGCCAAACAACACTTAATATGGTTTGTCCTAGGCATGCTATTTGTTTTTAATTTACTATATATATATATATTCAGCAATGACGGAAAGGAACAACAGTCAATTCATTTTTCTATAATGCAGAATAATTTTGATATAATATAAAAAATGTTTGTTTTTAACATCCAATATGCATCGCCATGTAATCATCGTACAGTTTATCGATTCAGAATCAGTTAAAATTTTCGTGTTTACACCTGACGTTCGGTTAATATGACTTGACTGTATAAAGATTATCAGTGTCAGACGACATTTATTTTACATGATGGCTTAAAAATCTATAAAATAATCCATTATCTCTTATGAACAGATTCAATCAAACCGAGACTGCAAGATCATTTTCAAACTTTGTTTCTATCGCTCTCATGGTATCTTCTCTTTTTCAGATTTTTATGCTCGCAATAACAGGTGTCAAATGCTGTGTTGCAACTAAGATTGTAAAAACTGTAAAGTTTTAAAGCACATTACTTTGCTTCTGTGTTGTTACATATTTCAAGTCCTTTGGGACCATTGATTTCAATACTTCATTGTGTTTGAGATTAAATACTGAATAAACCGGTGCTAGATAGAGAGGGCATTAAAATGTCGCACTTTCTATTATCTCTTATCAACAGACTATGTTTGTTTTGCAATTTTCATATTTAACTTTTGTTTTCGTTGCTCTCAAGGGATCTCATTTCTGTCAGATTTTTAAAAGGGTTTAAAATTATATCTGGCAAAATATTTTTTATTTCAAAAACTGTACAAGCATGGTGTTTTCATATTCGGATTTGGCATAGATTGGAAGAGCGTTTGCAAAAGTATTTTCTGTCATTATAGCACACGAATTTTACAAAGAAACATTATACAATATACCCTTACAACTACGTTAGCCATTTTAATAAATTTTGCAACAATTTTGTTAAATCACCACTCTCTTTATAGAAAATTTACAATCATCTCAATGTTGCTCGTTTGGTATAATTTTGATAAAAAAAACCCCCAAAGATCTTACACTTTTAAGCCAATTTAAAAATTCATAACCTTGCCTTGATTAATTCTCATTACAAATGTGACAATATTAAAGATTTTCTTAAAAAGTCATTTAATACAAAACTGATACTGATATTTCACCTTGAAATAAAATAGCGTACCGATTTGACATTAACTGAAATTTTAACGCCTGCACAACCTTGAAGAGAAAAGTGATCATAAAAACTAATAAAATCAAGCAAAATAAAAGGCACACCACATATTTTAAATGTAATTTCGTCCAAAAGTGTTATCATGTTTTACTACAGTAACTTTAAAGTTTGACATTCGTTTACTACAACTAAAGCAATTAGACATTTAGATCGCGTGAGAAGACTCGTATATCACTTAATGAAGAACACTTTTAATTGTCCTTCTCCGTTAATAAGGCTCTAAGCTTTTCATAATTAGAAATTAACAGAATAACAACTTTTTTCCGAAGGTTTTTCCATTATTCAAGTATGAAAAGGTAAAGGTCGTATTCTGTACTTAAATGCATGTGTTGAAACGTCATCAAATATGGACTATGTCATTCTAAAGGGACAGTGTGTCTAAATTATGCCTAACTCTTTGGTTTTACACTTGATATTTTTAGAATAAAGGAATTGTATTCATTCCTTCAACGGACCACTTAACTTCATATTGTAGTATTTATGGTATCAAAATAAAAAAAATCGCTACTTGGTTATTTGATTTGTTCTAAAAATGTACTTATTCATCTAGTACATACAAAATCTTTAATTTTGAGCGAATGCTTTTGCTATAGAGCAACAAAAGGCTTTAGTAAATGTCAGATCACCAGCAATCAGCAATGACCTAGATATGTTCTGTTTATATCTAATTAGACAATTATTTGAGATGACGTTTACATAATATCAAAAGGAATATTTAAGTGTTTTTACGATCCATTTTGATATTTGGTACGTGTTAAGGTACTATTATATCATTCACACGTTTATATCTGAGTTAACAGGCAAATAATGTATAAGTGTTACGTGACATTTGTAGGGATTACTAAGAATTTTGATACGGGAATAAGTACGGCCTTCTTCAGTACATGTTTAATGTATACCCATGCTAATTACCAGAAATCAGCTTGGCTGATACATTGATCTGAACACAATTATTGAAATATAGGAAATTATCTTGCTTTAAAAAGCTGTATCTTTTTGTTTAAACTATTTTGAGAAGAACAGAGGTGCAATAATTACCTATTCTCATTGTAAAGCAGCAAAGAAGAAAAAACATCGTGCCGGTATTTTTTTTATAAATTTCTTAAACCGATGCAGGCGAGGATGAGTAAGCGGTATAATTTCATACATCAACGCTGCCATCGGTGAAGAGCATCAATAAAACGGAACCGGCAACATTTTACTGTTGCGGTTCTGTACGATCTTTAAAGTTCCGTTTCAACTATTTTAAGGGGCATGTTATTCACTTAACTTTATTTCATAAGATTTAGTATTAATCTTTTGTTTCATCTATATAATGTTTTACATGTGATTAAATCTTTTATTTCACAATAAAGCAAATGTTTGATTATTTGACATTTGGTTTAAACATATTTATTTAAGCTCGATTGCATAACAAGTTCTTGCAACTTATATTAATCACTTTCGAGTCCGCTTCCAGGAACCAACCAGTACTGGTGTCATATGAAGAAACATGGTCGTGACCCGAGTAGGGCTCGAACCCATGATCTATGGGTTGAGAGGCAGACACCTTAACCACTAGGCCACCACTCCCCTTAATTTGACATTTAAACACAAGTAATAACATTGCAACATTGCAGATTAAGTGATGATAACGGTCTATCTCCGACAAATATTGTTTCCTGCACTATAAGATACAGTCTAGTAGTCACTATACGTACATTTGTAACTATTATATGCTACGTTTTAGACAAAACAAACATAACAGACATAACAGACACTACAATTACAGTGTCAATATCTCAATTATGTTCATACAAAGTCAAATAATCAGTTTCATCAAATTAATATAATAACCAATTAATTGTGTCTAAAGATATGAAAATGCATATAGTTATATTATTCGTTTGAATTTTGTACAAGAATAATCCAAAAGTTTCTGAAAGAAAGAAAGATATATGTATTATATCCTTTAGAGCGAATAACGCATGCGTGAAATCATTGCAAAGGGTAACTTTATTCTAAAAAGCTGCAAAGCAGTATAATAATTATTTACCATAACTAAATTTTACAAAGATAATTTTCATTCATACAGCTTTGCGAGTATTTACAATTGTTTTGATGAGTGTATAACAGCAAGTAACTGTCAAAATTACTCATTTCGTATGTAATGAAGAGCTTGGGTATCCTAACTGAGATGTTCAATTGTCATGTTGCTGAGAAATAAGAAAATTGAAATTTCGAAACATATTTGGTCATGATTACAAAATGCTAGCTATTAATTTCAATATTCTAAAGAAGTAATTTCCTACTACAGAAACGAAGATGTAAACATAAAGGCATTTATTTTATGCTTTTCAGTGGATTACTGATTTATCCGTGAAAATTATATTTGATAATTTCACAGTAAAAATTATCAAATATAATTTCACACTTTTCAATGACGAAACTACTTTTTAAGATTTTCCCCATGTGGTACCTCAATTTTTATTTTGCTGACAATTTTGACAATGTCAGGCTGTTTAGAGAAGCGCAAAGCTGAAATTGATAAATAACTAAAATGTCAAAAGTAATAAAAAGAAGAAAACTTACTTTTATTCATCCAAATTGCTAATCACCAAATATCGTCTCTTATTTTTTGTTTCATTTTTACAGTCTGAAAAATACATCCCTTCCACATGCAAAACTGTTCTTGATGACATTTGGGCATATTTAAGTATCTCAACGGAGTATCTTTTATATTTGGTAAAGGGTTTTTGCAAATAAAGTTTTTGACATTTGTATGCATCTTTTCCAGGACGCTAACTATGATATTAAGACAATTAAGATATCAAGTGAATAAAACTCGAGAAGATGATTAAATTTGATAATGTAGAATACAATAGACTGGTAAGGAATGTTAAAGGAAAATCTACAATGTTTAAAGAATCTGATTAAAATGTGACTGCATGTTTGTGTGACTTGTAGACAAAACTTTTAAAAAAATAAGTTAGATGCTTTTTATAATTGCATCGAAACAACTTTCCTTTCCTGGAAAAAGTCCATTAAAGACAACATAGAAATTCGAGAAAGAGATAAAATACATTATAACAAATCAAACTGCCAGTGTGTAGTGAAATTTCAATATTTATATCCACTATAATTGTAATTCGACATAATCTTTTCAGATATTTATGTCAATCTAATTGTATTATTTCCACATTGTTCGTCATTACCTCTTTGATCCATCATTTCGACGCGTGTAAATATTCCGGCTATTGCATAAGGATTTTAAGTGCATTCATGGAGATGTTCTGGAGACAAAGTAGTTTATTTGCAACTGTAACGAACACTTATTGATATCGATGATGTATGTGTGATATTTGGAACATGAGAGAACATTTCGTTTTGTCAGCATTGTTTATTCTTTTCTTCTTTTTATGTTATAACATATGTGACGCGCTCAGCGATTTTTGGCCCAATTGAGTTTTTAATCATTGTGAGAAAAACGCTTGTAAAGTCACGCGAGTTTTCATGTCTTATTTTTTAGGGTTTCCCTTCAAAACAGAGTACTTTTGAAAGTTTAAAGAATAAAATAAACTAGAAAGAAATCAAAAATACTTTTTGAACAGCCCTTCTCAGCTTCCACGATAAACATTTCCCAAAAATCTATATTTAGAATAAATACACTGTGTAAACTCAGGAGTCAGGTCAGCGAGTAAACACATGTAGATTCACTACCTTTTACGTCATGTAACTGCATATTTGGAGGTTTAAATAAATATTAAGGTAAGTGCATCTTTTATTATTTATACTATTTATGTTCATTATTTTTTTCTGATATGTTGAATATGAATAACCATCGTACTTTTACTTTAAACAATTAAATAAATGGGACCATGACACCTGGTTTATGTAAAAAAAAAACATGGCCGGCATCTAGGTCAGGTGATGACAGACACATTTTTTGGGATACATAGTTTATTGCACTCGATTTGTATTTGTCATGGTCTTTATAACATAACATAATATATAAAGATATTGTTAACTGTTTTCTAAATTAGACATTACAAAATAAATTGAAGTCAAGGCTGCAATGAAAGATAAAATGAAACAAAAGACAAGTTGCCACTTCATTTTTGTTTACAGTATTTTTTCTACATCACTATGACAAAAAAATGTAACTGGACACATAACATATTTTGCAATTTGTTTACAATGAATGAGCTTGATATAGATCTACATCAAGTAGATTTATACTGTATAAAATATTTCTAAAAAAGGAAATATATGACAAGGCTTCAGTACAGTAGATCTACTGTAATTATTGACAAATGAATTTCTATTACAATTCAAGATCAATTTAGTAAAGGAAATGTTATCCCTGTACTGAATGCTGCTTTTGAAATACAATAAATAAATCTAGTACTGTGATTGAAGATGTCACAAGATAAATATCAAAATGCATTTATTTTTATTAGATCTAGCCCTTTGCCTTTGGTAGTCATATTATATTCACATTACTCATACCACATAGCATATTCTACCAGCAGGGTTTCCATTAAATTCCAAACATTGGCAGTCAAAGACTGCAAAATGTATGTAATTGGAAGTCACTTTGTAGGTAAAGAATGAAAAGCATTACATTTTGGAAGCCAAAATCAAGGTGTAAATGACTCCCAAACTTTAATAACAGAAGCCCTGCTACCAGGATATTTTTAACATTTATGAGCCAGCAATTTTTGCTGATGAAATATTTTGTGTTGTTGTTTTAGGTCTGACAGCCAACATACATTTAAGATCTTCAACTTAGTTCATCAGAGTTTTGAAGTAGATAATATGATTATCCAGCATGTTGGAGCTATATTCTTCAAGGAAATGTACTGGTAAGTGTTTTGATACTTGATTTAAAGATCAAATGATTTACTATGAATGTAATCTTTGTATACACATGTAAATAATCATGACATAAACTGACCATTCTCCACCCTTTTTATCAAATAATGATATTGATAAATTTCCTTAAATGCAGCTGAAAGTAATGTAACTTATTTGCAATTTAGCATTTTATATATGAAGTCAGATGAGATCTTAAAAATACTGTATTGTTTTAAAATTACATAACTCTGTACAGTAACATGAACTAAATTTTAAGTTTATATTTAAATATAATGCTGTATTGTTTTATGCAAATACTCTGTCAATAATGTTAAGCTCTTAAAGTATATATACATAATTTTCAGAGGACATAGATAGTTCACCTATTTGCTGATGAATATACTAAACTATTGTTGGAAATGAGGCACAATGTGTGATATAGTTCTATGCCCTATTGAGCACCAGGGTTATGGAGTAAAAAAGACAATCACTTGTATCAACTGTACTGTATTGGTCAAGATAAAAAACACTTCAATTGGGTAAGCATGTATATTTATGCAATATTCCACATTCTCTTTACTTTTAAAATAAAGAGTGCGGTGTTGCAACCACAATACATGCACATATCGATATGTAGATTCAGATTATTTTAGTCATGTTCAAGATGAATGTTACTGCCACTTGTACATGATATATAGATTGTAATATATTACACAAGAACTTACATGATGAACAAGACATTGTATGAACACAATAGCTGTGTAACACTATAGAACAATTTACTTATAGTTCATTTCTGTTCAGTCAAATATCATATACACTTTATTGTTGTCAAATCATCATATACACTATATTGTTTCATTTATACTTATTCAGGTTTTTGTTATTTCAGGATGGCATGTGAGAAGTCAATGACTTGTCTATGTTTGACAGTAAACCAAAAGTGAATTACATTCTCATAGAATTTGTCTTTAGAAGTATCCCTGAAAAAGCTGAATACTACAGTGGCAGGTGTTACAGTATTTTTACTTAATTGTGAAACAAGTTTTTGCAAGTTTTATATATGAATCACTTTTTGCTTACAAAAACTGAAGACATAAGCGGAGACATAGTTGCTATTACCCTGTTTGGGTCAAACCCTCAACATGGGGTTGCAAGACTATAATTCAAGGACATAAGTGAACTGTCATTTGTGACTTCCCATGTGATTGCTAGAATCTGTTATTGTTATTGTTTTAAATTAATTGAAATTATTTCAATTTAAAAATATACTAATATATTATTCATATTATACAATTTAAAATACACTGATCAGAATATGATTACACTGTCAATATCTGTAACTGAAAATAAAGGAACATAACTAGTGCAAGCTCTTTCTATTTATTTTTTGGTTAAAATTCTGAAAGACTTTTGAAGTTATTGTGAAAAGGAATATAAAATGCAATTATTTTAAATCATTCAGTTATTTTGCATTTTTTGTTACCATGGCAACCAAAATACACCATTTTTGCAATCAGTGCATACAAAGATATTTGTTTTGCATTGGATTCATATTTTATATGCTATCATGTTATAGATGTGCATTTTAAAGTTAACTAACTTAAGTTATGATATTAACCTTAATCATGGAAAAGTTACTGTAATTCTGAGAATTTAATTCTTATGTTTAAATTTAATAGCAATAACTGAAAAGTCTTTAATATTGTTGTCTTTTAATATAATATATGCATTAATGTGGTGATGAATTAATCATGTTAAGTGCAAAAATATTGCATTTGATGATTATTTTTATATTTTTGTTGCCATGGCAACCAATTGAAAACAAACAATTGGTTTTATATCAATATATAACATATATTACACTAAGATAAATGATCATTTAATTTTTTATTTTATTTTATTGTGTATAACTATGGAATTATTTCTAATTTGTATATACCAATAAAAGTTAAAAATGTAATTTTTGTTGTTATGGTGATGTCATACAAATTAGAATATTTCATAAAATATCAAGTATTTTTTAAAAATAATTGTTTCCAGCTATACAGCAGATGTTGTTCTACCACAAACTAGTCATAACTCATTTTCGCCCAAATATTACATTTGGGCCAAAAATCGCTGAGCTTGTCACATATAGTTAATAACATATATTCTGATTCTATAGATCAAAAATATCATAACTTGACAAATTGTCAGAATGGCTAAGTTCTAAATATGTAAAAACATTTAAGACAAGAGCATGCGTTCAAAGAGTTTATTGTTGGCATTGTTGTAAGACTTCTTTCATTCAAATGGACTTTTATAGATGAATGTAAGACTAGTGGCAAATAACCGATTATAACTAATGGGACAAAACTATTAATGGTATTCTTGCATTTAAACTACAATATGAGATCAGTGTAAGATGTCTTTTCTATTAGTTAACTTTAAATTGCTTTTTTAAAATGGTATAACATACATATGACAAGTTTTAATTTCTATGAGTAACTTCTAAATCAATAGTTTGTTCAAGCCATTTTTACTAGAATCTTTCTGAAGCAGAATGAACGTCAACACACATATATAATAAAAATAATTCTTGTTTCACTCGGAAAAGGCTTCGATTTAATTTTTTTTTATAAAAGATTCATCGTGATCAACATAAGTAGAGCATTTTTTTAATTCTTCCAATTACTGTGTAACATCCATTTAGAATATCTGTTTTATTAAAATCGGTCCTCACATGTTCATCTTTTCGCCTTTTTCTTGATAAATGGCTTATATATTTCACGTAATCTTATATATGCTGATTTAGATAACATCCTAAAATCACGAGTAATGTCTTCACAAAGACTTGAAATATTTTCAGCAGAGAATATAGATATATTTCATTTCAACATATTTTTTGTGAAATCATACAAATTATTTGGTACTTGAAATACTGCATTATTTTTGTTGGTCAACACGGCACCAATTGGATATTAAGAACTGGTGACCAATTAATCATACCGGAATAGCGATAATTTCTCTTAGATCTGATAATAAAGTCTGCACAATATAACTTAGGGCATAGTGTAGAAGAATAACAGTTTATCTTAATTTCCCCAGAGATAATATAAATAACATAATGTGTCTGTTGTCGGCAGCCAATTTGCGTCGCTTTGTGGAACATACCGTTCAGCTGATTCAAAAACAATTATAATTTGTCCCAGTTTAACAGTAGATATTTTATTTCATTGTTGTATATCTTATGTTGACAATAATTTGTGTATATACTTATACATGATAACCTACATTTGCCATGTAAATCATTTTTTCTTACTTTCATCAGATTTGACAGAAATTAATTTGATTTTTTATAAAGAAATAAAACTTTCATTTTCAAGTACTTGAATTATATCAGTTTCTATCTAAGATATTACCGAGTTGCACTGGATGTACTTATTGAACGCTAAAAACGAAACCGTAATAGTGCCTTTTTCCAAATAAGGGAATTTATTTGAATATATTCGTAGGAGTTATACAATAATGTCCTCTTAAAATAGGTCTGAAAACAAATTTGTTTTTATTCACATTAATAAGCTACAGTTTTTTTTCTGTCAAATGTTTAACAAAACATTACTTTATCAATTCCGTGAATATACATTAACCTGTCACTTTTAGTGCGACATTGTGCTTGATTAAAGTTGAGTAACAGCTAATTGTAAAAACTTATATAATTTCATAATTAAAAAAGGTAATTCAAAAGCGTTGGACCAAAAGTTCTAAGAACATCATGGGCCCTTCCCTGGTCTGGTACATAATCAATCTTGAACGAGTTAGGAATAATCTGCTTGTGCAATCTTCATGGAATCCGATGCTTTGAAAATTTGGATAATGACATATCCTTCTCGCAATATGTTTGCATTTATTTGTGTGAATGAAAATACACTTAAATGACGAAGAATATATTTTGAAAAATATGTGATAGATTTACTTAAGCGAAATGTACAGGCATGATAAATAACATCAGACTAAGCTGTGTACTTAGACATTGCTCCTGATGCTATTTATAATTCTGATCGATCCTAATGTTATTTGCGTATTTATATAAGCGCATGATTATGACATATAGAATAACAGAAACATACACAAATGTTTAAGTAACTGGGAAATTCGGAAGTTGGTGCTAATGTAAAATATAAAGTAAAAAGCCTCACTGACAGATTTCACGAATTTGCAAACTGATCTTTCATGTTTTTTAATGTTAAGTTCTGCTAAACTAGTGCTAGGAGGCATAGATGGACGATTGTTTTATGTTTTGTCCATTTTATACAGGCACATGTAGCTTGACGAGTCATTATCACCGTTAGCTGTCAGAAATAATACATCAACAATTCTACATCAATGCAGATACTGCGTCATTTCATAAATTGGATCAAACGCTTCTTTCCTGTTCAAAGCCATTTAGATCGAAGGATTGACGTGTCAAAGAAAAAATATATTGCAAGTTACAAGTTGAATTGTAAGCGTGGTCTGAGCATCTCACTAGTTGACGAGCAGCGCTTTGTTTTTTCATCTTTTTAATTTAGATGTTATACTTATATTGCATGAATATACCTTATAATGCGAGGGCTGTTCCAAAAGACCTCATAATAATCTTATAGAATACACACAATTCGTCGTGACGTTTTCAAATCAATATACAAGACCTTTGTTAGTATATAACAATTAAAATGTTTTGATATACATGTTAAATTATATAACAGATATATTATTAAAAAAACAATGCACTTAAGAAATATATTTTTAATTAATTTATCAAAGACATTATTGTAAAGTCTGCACTGACAAATTTTGGGAACTGTTTGACGAATATCCCTTTTCACGAATAAAATCATTTCCGAGTTTGTCGATAGAAATGAATTAAATGTTATGGGATTTATCTGATTTCATTCAATGTAAGATTTATGCAAGTGTACATATAGTACTTTGTGTGATTCTATAAATAGCGTTCTGGCTTTTGTTTTGTATTAGACAGAATGATATTTCTGTTACAAGTTTGATATATTTGATTGAAAATTATCTGTTATTGTAACGACTGAGTAAAGATATTGTTTTTATCTTGGATGTGCCATATTTGTTAGTTCCCGAGTATAACTTACAGTAATTAGTCCAAAAGAGTTACATTTTAGACAATGTAATTCATTATGCGCTACAGTAAACGCAAATCGTTTATAGAACTATGCTTCGGATAGTATCATTTAAACAACAGTTTATTTTGATTACATACCACTCTCAACATTTATGATCCTGACAAGATGAAACCTGTTCTATTACGACCTGTCAATCATATTATATAAGTTTTATTGAACTTGTTTGATAGCGTCTGTGATATTTTACTTTAATCTCCTAAAATTGTCTACGACTTAACCTCTGACCTTTTTAAAAGTTTTTATGGAGACGACATGAAGATCAATGTTATGACAAGTTTGAGTCATGAGACAGTGTGCTAAGCTGATCTTCTTACTCATTGACATGGTTATATCAAACAATTCTACATATGAATTTAGTTTATGTACTAAAACAAAGAAAACAATGCAATACTGGATGGAGGAAATATATGAATTATGGCGTGTATTTTTTTCCATTTATTTCAGATAACTACACGTACACTGTTTTCCTATTAGACCTTTAGAAAATACCATTTTGCTAATTAAAATGTCGCTAAAACTTACAATGAACGTAATTAAAATGATTAATCAATTTGATCAAAGTTTAACAACTCTGGAAATACGCCCAGGCTTATTGTTTCGTTGTTACTCTACTTTCGAACTCTAAGACTCTAAGAAGTGAAATAAATATTTCAATCTATTGAGATGGGAATTGTAAATTCCACACAACTCATAGTATTATTAATGTCAATTAACAAACTTAAAAAATAAAAGAAACAAACCAGTAAACGAAATCAATTAAGGCGGTCAACGCTTTTTGTCATGAACGAGGACAACTCAGGAAGTGACCTACTGTTTAAAGATGTGTCACATCAGATTTTAGGTTCAATGAAAACTAATATCTGCAACAAGTTGTACTTTAAAGTTTTTAAGAAATCCCTAATTGCAAGTTCAATCTGCGAGATAATTTAGACTGATTTTTTTTAAAATAACAATTACGAAAGCTTCATAGAGTATATAGAATCAAGGAGGTTATACATTAAACTTTTTCACAGCAATAGAAACCAGACATATTAAATGACAACCGATTGTCTTCTCCGGAGTGACAATAATGTGATATAAGTCTTATTTAACATTTCAATTCTGTCTGGGGAAATTTGTATGGGTACTCCCGAAAGACTATTTTATGCCTCTGTTGTGGATAACATACATTCATCTACAAGAAATGAAGATAAATGAAGACAAATTTTGTAACCATTTATCATGGGAACAGTTGGAATGTATGCCATATATATGTTCGATTGTTAAATTGTATATATAACAATTTAAATAAATATTTATTGGTAAAAACGAAAAGCACAGAACAATATCTGGGACAAAGAACAACGCCTTCGGTGACTGTTTATAGCTATTTTTCATACAAAGAGCGCACAGATTATGACATCTGTTTACATTTTTTAAAAAAAGCTCATCTAATGATTATATTACTTATTTGCAAGTAAGATATTAATAATAATAAGAGTAAGATATTAATAAAATCTTTGTAAGT